AGGCTTCCATGAAAATGTCAGCAATGACAGGGGAAAGGGGAGAACCCATTGGTGTTCCAGATATTTGTTTGTAGAAATTGCCTCTAAAAAGAAAAATATGTTGAAAGGAGGCATTTTTCGGCAAGATCTGCCAAAAGACCAAAGTCTTTGGTTTTGGCAGATCTTGCCGAAAATGCCTCCTTTCAACATATTTTCTTTTAGAGGCAATTTCTACAAACAATATCTGGAACACCAATGGGATTGGCCAGCGCGCGCTTCTTGACGTTCGCGCCACGAAGTGTGCCGATACGTCCCGACACGACAGGCACGCGACTATAAATAGAGCGGTAGCGGAGTAATCGTCGGAAATGCCCTAACTGTGGTGGTGAGCATGCGGCTTATTCAGCCAAATGCCCGCTCAGAAGGGAAATTCCTAAAACCCCGCAAGAAACACAACCATAACTACAGACAAACGTGACCCACCTTACGAACTGTCTTCAGACATGAAGGCAGTGATGGAATTTACTTCCCTCATCCTTATAAACCTACTTCCAGATAGGCGTCAGCTTATCCTGGATATCACTAACCGCATCTCCACTCTGATGTTCGGCCACAAGAGTACTCTTGTGGCTCATAACAACAGAGCTTCCATCTCCTTCCTGCCCCTCTAATGGACAGTTCAATAGGTGCTGTTAACTGCCAGGGTGTTCGGAATAGGCGACCCCTTATTAAACATATCCTTCAACATCATAATATCCAAATCCTAGCCCTCACCGACACCCTCTCAAAAACTGATCCAACTTTCCCCGGTTACTGCACGGTACACCGTCCTAAATGCCAAATATCTCGCGGTATTGGCTTCCTTATTAAATACGGTATCCCCTTTTCCCCTCATGTTACACCTATGCACCTTAACCTCAATGATGTTGACTTCCTGGCAGTGGACATACACCTAGACAATAACACGACAATTACAATAGTCTCTTATTACTAAACATCCTCATCAGGACATGTCCGAGATTTTGTTCGATTATGTCTCCAGCCTCAATAAGGCTATTATTCTCGGCGATTTCAACGCCAGACACGTTCAATTTGGCGACACCGCCACAAATAATGCAGGTAACGACTTCTCGGATATGCTCATTAATCTCCCTATTCATCGTATCCGTAATCGTGCGCCGACTTTTGTGGGTCACCAGGGCATGTCGATAGTCGATCATATTGTATGTACGTATGATGTGATCGATCTGTTAGGTGACGAATGCTTTCTCGGTGACTCCATCACGTCGGATCACTTACCTCTACTGGTTAAAGAACAGATATTTACACCCACCCCTCCCGCACCACCCAAAGTAATAAGAGACTATAGACACGCTGACTGGGACCGATACAGAGCCTTTCTGTCAAATAATATTCCTGAGTTAGGCAACTTAGCACACACAGATGATATCGATTTAGGTATCACGGCCATCTCAAATCTGATAAATCAAGCAATTGATATATCAGTCCCTAATAAGGTTATCAACCCTAATAGGCCTCCTTTACCGCAATACATAATCAATAATATCAAACACAAGAGACGACTCCTACGTCAGTTTCAACGCACTCGAAATCCCCTTATCAAAGCAGAATATAACCGCATGTCAGCGGTGATCAAACTACAGGTGAAAGAGATGCAAGTCAGACAATGGCGGGCAGCCACCTCTAGTCTTGATTTCCGTGACGGTGGTAAGTTCTGGCATAAATTCAAGTGCCTAACTAAACAAAAAACCAATAATCCATCTCACATTATTGTGAACAATCAAATCATTAATACACATCAACAAAAGGCCGAAGCCTTTAAAAACCATTTACAAAACACATTAATCACACCTAATAATCCTAGATTTGACCACGCCTTCCGGACTAAGACTGAAAGAGATGTAAACAGACTACTCGGCGCCCCTTTCGATCCTCAGGTGCCGCATGACCATCCCATCATGTCACCTGTGGATCAACAAACTTTCAAAAATTTTTGTCATATCGGCAAATCGAATTCACCGGGTCCTGACAACATTGCCAGGAGCTGCGTGAAACAATTTCCTCCGAGTGTCTACCTCTATTTAACAAATATTGTCAATGCCACTCTCAAACTCTGCTATTTCCCTTCTCAATGGAAAGTAGCAAATACAATTATGCTCCTTAAAAAGGGCAAACCCCGCACAGATCCTAACTCTTATCGGCCGATTTCACTCACAAATGTTTTAGCAAAAGTCTTTGAGAGGATCCTAAAAGAAAGACTCATTGACTTCACCAACGAACACAACATCATTCCCTCTTTTCAATTCGGCTTTAGAGAAGGGTGCTCTACTAATACGGCATTGACTGAGATTGTCACACACATCACTCAAAGTCTGAACGACAGCAAACTCGCATTAGGTATCTTCCTCGATGTTCAAAAAGCCTTCGATCAAGTCTGGCATGTGGGACTGATCAAGAAACTATTGAACATTGGACTACCAATTCCTTTCGTCAGACTAATCCAATCATACGTCTCTGATCGTCTGGTCCGTGTTAAGGAACGTGGTCATTTCTCCGATTTCTTTACTCCAACAGCCGGAGTACCTCAAGGCTCCGTACTGGCACCCATACTTTACATAATATACAACAGCGACTTCCCCAATACTACTCGTAACAGAACCACCACTCTACTTTACGCAGATGATACTGCTCTGGTTACTACAGCAACGAACGTTGATTCTGTTCTCAGGAATGCTCAAAATCACCTTAGACTAGTCGAAAACTGGTGCAGGCGATGGAGAGTGTCCCTGAATCCGAACAAAACTCAAACGATTCTTTTCAGACACCCTAAACACAGCGTACGCGCGGCCTCCTTTAACGAAAGAAACTATCTCACGCTGTGGGGAGATCAACTCCAACTCCGTGATCAGGTCGAATACCTCGGTGTGAAGTTTACACAAACTTTGAACTGGAGGGCCGACTTGAGCTCAGCCTGTGCTAAGGCTAGGAGCAGATTGAGTCTCCTCAATAGTTTGAGATGTAATTTCGGGGCCACGCACTCTAGAACATTAATTTTCACATACAAAACTTTTATTAGACCTATTTTTGAATACCGATCAAACATTTATAATACAATACCAAAACCAGTCAAAGAAAACCTATTAAGCCTAGAGCGGAGGATTCTGCGTAGAGTGAATGGCAAACGAAACGACTACCCTTCAGCCCTCATTCATCAACTATCTAATATCCAGCCCATAAATGAGAGACTACACTCTCTGAGCAGAAGTTATACTACACGCACTATCCGGAGCCAAAACCTCAGAGCTCAACGCATCCTAAAAACTGTCTGCTCTTCCCACGGCAATGTATTCACCAGACATCCTAAACCCAAAATCCCACACCTACCCGCAATTCTACTGGAACTCGCCAGTAACGAACTCCCTGATGAATACATTGACATACAGGAGGCAACTCCCCTCTATTTTCGTCGTATTCCAAGCTAAATTGCTCACTTCGAGCTTGCCTAGACAGGGGGGGATCGGTTTTCTGCGGTTTCCCGATCCCATTTGCAAATGATACCTGTCTATTTTGAGGATACAGCCGCAGCTGCCCTCACGCGTCGCGATAACACATTTAACACATTTACTATTTAACATATTAATGCATGTATTTGTACATATATTAATATTGCATTCTGTACATATATTAATTTAACATTCACTAACTTTCACTAATATATTTTTTAGAAAACAATTCTGAAAAGAACCGACCACTACCTTTCTCCGCTGATTGCCCTGGCTGCACCCACCAGTAGACCACGAAGCAAAGAACCAGAAGCCAAACACCAACAACCCAAGAACCACATCCTGAAGAGGCAAAAGCCTATAACAGGATGCCAAAACCCAAAACAAAGATACCATACCAAGAAACACAGAGAACCAACGCAACAATGAAGTGTGTAATCGTCGGATTCACTCCCCGCCTCTCGACGCGTTAGTGTTCTGAGCTGTTGGACGTGAATCCCTGTCCTGGCATTTGGTTTTCACCTCTGGCTGCGTTGAGTAGTTGAGTTACTGTGACCAAATGCCCATCTTGGTAGTTAGTATTCGCCTCTGGTTGCGTTGAGTAACTGAGTTACCGTTGCTAACTACCCATCTTCCTGTTCTTCTTTGTTTTCTTTTTTCTTTTTCTTTGTTCTCCTGAAGAAGCTACATACAATTGTAGCGAAACGTCGAGATGAACCCACTTTTGGGTCACTCACAAATGACACGTTCCAAACCCGGAAGACGAATAAACTATAATTCTGACTCTGGCCGTGGGAAGCCTACGATTTCAAATAAAAATATCTTTAAAACTAATAACTTTAGGTATAGGGAGTACTTCATAAAATATGAAGTACGATATTAGTTTCTTTTCGATAGTGATATAAATACAGGGTGTTCTATTTAAAATTACCAAGAAAATAATGTACTTGCATTTTGACTTACCCTGTATTTGATTTAACGAATATTATGAAAATGAATATGTTTTATAGTTATCAATAATTTTTAAAAAACTATGGTTGCAATAGATCAATGTTCCTACAATCCTTTTTAATTATACAGGGAGTTAAACTTGATACGATTTTCAGGTAATATTGGTTATAACTTTTTAAATACCCAGTATAACATAATAAAACTTTACATTGTTGTAATGTGGAAGTGAAGCAGATTTCATAAATATACGGGGTGTTTCATTTAAAAAAACATAAGTTTGGTTTGCCACCATCTTATGGAACACCCTGTAGGATTGTAACTAATTTTAAAATATGGAGTTTAAAGCTGCCTACAATTTTTCTTAATAACTTTTTTTTGTATTTTTACTATAACAGATCTATGAGCTTCCTCACACTAATCAATCAAACTGTATACATATATAATATATTATATATATATATATTATATATATATATATATATATATATATATATATATATATATATATATATAGATACTGTATTGTAACACATATGTCCATTTCAGCTCCATATTTTCCAAGATGTAGAAGAAATGAACCAAATATGGAGAAATGTCTTATTAAAGCTACGGAACAAGTTAGATCGTTCGTAGCAGAAGGAATTAAAGATTTAATACCAGCAACCAAAAGTATTGTTATCCCATTTGTAACATTGGAACAACGTGGGAATAGAGCCTTAAATTTTAAAGTTAAAATAACAAATTTGACGATACTTGGCGTAGATAACTATAAGTTTAAGAGATATACGTAAGTATGTATCGATTTATTGACGGATTGTTGAGTCTTTTGTAATCCGCATATCTAATGTTGTTAAGGGGAACTAAGTTTACCTTTATTTCAGCTGTTTCAGTCTCAAGCGCTTTTTTAGAATCTCTTTCGAATAGGCATTAAAAAGAATTGGCGGCAATACACCTCCATGTCTAATTTCGATAATTCGATATGATCCTGAGGTGATTGTAGTCTATTTATATAGTCAATAGAACTCGCAAATATATCTTGATATTCATGCATTCCTAGGTTTTTACAAAACCCAAATTGTGTATTATTAGTGTCTATGTCCATTTTATGATATATTCGGTAATATCCCAACTTTAGCAACGGGTGCTAAAGTTGGGATATTAAGCTAATGGTGCGCTAATTGCCGTATTTCGATAGAAAGCATGTTAGGTCAGGGCTTTTCCCGTTCTTCATTGTTTTTAATGCTTGTAATATTTCTTGTTTTATAATATCTGGACTTATTTCTTCTAAAGTAAGTTAGGTGTTCCTTTATCATCGAACAGTTCGCTTCAGTCTTCAGTTCTCAGGTATGTTCGGTTTTTCCTTCTTATTATGTCGGTACATTATTCGTCAAAATAGTGCTCTTTTTGTGTTGCCTTAACTATCTCAAGTACATCATCAGCTGTTTCTTTATGTATGATATTTTTATTGTTCTAAATCTATTTGATTTGAATTAACCACAAGATTCAGATTAACTCTGAACCTGAGTCGAGTTTTTTGCCTCATTGGTAGAATTGTTACGTACTATATTTGATTAACATTGTTTTCTTCCGATCACTTCCATGTTTTGTATGCTTTTTTCTGTTTACTAGGTATTAGGGATAAGCCTATGTTGATCATTCTATTTCTTTAGTTTTGGTTATATAAAATTAACAAGGAATAATAATATAAAAAATGCTACATTTTTTAGTCTAAGCGTGCGGTTTTCAGGGACGCAATGTTATTTTTTTTATAATTTTATTCGTCTCCGGGTTTGGACCGTGTCATTTGTGAGTGACCCAAAAGTGGGTTCATCTCGACGTTTCGCTACAATTGTATGTAGCTTCTTCAGGAGAACAAAGAAAAGAAAAAGAAAATAAAAGACAGGAACATGGGTAGTTAGCAACGGTAACTCAGTTACTCAACGCAACCAGAGGCGAATACTAACTACCAAGATGGGCATTTGGTCACAATAACTCAACTACTCAACGCAGCCAGAGGTGAAAACCAAATGCCAGGACAGGGATTCACGTCCAACAGCTCAGAACACTAACGCGTCGAGAGGCGGGGAGTGAGTCCGACGATTTCTCCGCTACCTCTCTATTTATAGTCGCGGTGACCTGTCGTGTCGGGACGTATCGGCACACTCCGTGGCGCGAACGTCAAGAAGCGCGCGCTGGCCAATCATGTGGCTGCATCGTGGTAGCAAGCCAGGACGGAGGCTGTAGACTGAGATTCCAGATGGGAGACAAGTAGTATCTCAGTCTACAGCCTCCGTCCGGGCTCGCTACCACGATGCAACCACATGATTGGCCAGCGCGCGCTTCTTGACGTTCGCGCCACGGAGTTTGCCGATACGTCCCGACACGACAGGTCACCGCGACTATAAATAGAGCGGTAGCGGAGTAATCGTCGGATTCACTCCCCGCCTCTCGACGCGTTAGTGTTCTGAGCTGTTGGACGTGAATTCCTGTCTTGGCATTTGGTTTTCACCTCTGGCTGCGGTTGAGTAGTTGAGTTACTGTGACCAAATGCTCATCTTGGTAGTTAGTATTCGCCTCTGGTTGCGTTGAGTAACTGAGTTACCGTTGCTAATCTACCCATCTTCCTGTCTTTTGTTTTCTTTTTCTTTTTCTTTGTTCTCCTGAAGAAGCTACATACAATTGTAGCGAAACGTCGAGATGAACCCACTTTTGGGTCACTCACAAATGACACGGTCCAAACCCGGAAGACGAATAAACTATAATTCTGACTCTGGCCGTGGAAGCCTACGATCTCATTTATTTTTTTTATTTGTTAGAACAGTTAGTATAAGCTTAAATTCAAGTTTGTGCGGCGCTACCATTGTCCTCTGCCGGCATCTTGCAAAAAGGGGTGCAAATAGTTTTCGCGCTGTATCTCTTAATCTACAGCCCTAATGAAATTTTTTATTATTGACTATAGGCTATGACGGCAATAACTTTATTTGTATTATTTTTTATCGTTAAACGGAAAATAAAAAAGTTTTAAACAAAAATAAGAGTACCCCTGGGGGCCAAGGGTAGCGACTCCACAAACTTAAACTTATTGTTAAATCGTTATTATTGTTAAAAAATTATTGTATTAATGTATATTATTGTTAAAAAAATAGAATCGCGTCTCTGAAAACGAAACCCCAAATGTAACTTTTCAATAAAGTTCACATGGCAACTCCATGGAAACGAGGCAAATTAAAAATATATATACACAGTATTGACTTAAGTTTATTTGTTTTAGATTCGATCCTAAAGAACTAACATCTTACGCAGTTGTAGATTTGCCACATATTTACCTCGAAGGAGAATTTGATTTGGTTGGAAATTTATTTTTTGCCAACGTTAAAGGAGCTGGTAACTTATACGGAAACATAAGTAAGCTGTTTTAACTACTTAATATTACTCACTAAAACGCAATAGAAGTATTTTCTCTTTAATCATGCATTTGGCCATCTACTTATTATCATTTTGTGCAAGATTTTTTTGTTGCTCTTCTTTATTTTTAACTACATGAAAACTGAACTACTTTAAAAATATGTGTATATAATTTTAGCCGATTCCCAAATCAGTACCAACTTTACGATGAGAATTGTTAAAAGAAAGGGCATTGAATATTTAGAAAATACTAAAGTTGAAGCAAAGGTACACGTTGGCACTATTGCCGGTTACAGTTTTGATGGAGTATTCAAGGAAAATAAGGATATAGGTTAGTTTATCAAATTTATGCCATTTATTTACGATCTTAATTTATATTATAGTTATAATAAAAAACCGTCTTATAATTGTTTCTCTTTATGGGTGCTTTTATTCAATTTTACTCATTAACTGTAATGCCACTTTTTCAATCTATGTATTTTTTGTTTTAGATTTACTAACAAGTACAGTACTCAAAAATAATTTACGATCCTTGATTGACGAAACAGCTCCAGTAATAGAACCAGCCCTTGCTACTTACTTGGAGAAAGGAATGTTGAAACCCATGGAAACGATTCCCTATAATAATATATTTCCAAAATAAAATGTATAGATTATGAAATAGATGTATATAAAATAGTATTGTCTATTTTTCTATAGCCTTATATTTCTTATTTAAGTTTTTTTGAAGTTTTAAAATTGGTTAATTAAATAAATCCATATGTAAAAAATAATTCGTAGTAAAAAAGACATTCGAAAATTAAAAAAAAAACGAAACCTCTTCAATTAATTTATTTTAATTGGTTCTGAATCATAGCATCTTAACTGGATTATTGGATATCCTTGAATATTCTTATTTATTAGTAGGAATTCAAGTTGTTCTATTATCTCTTGATAATCTGCAGCTCCATTTTTAATCCATCAGTGAGACTTCAACTAAAATGGTCAAACATTGTTCATTGACGTCAATACTGGCTAATACTGCTGCAAAAGAAGCAGTTACAACCAAATCAGACATCAAATCAAACCACTTTTCAGGTCCCAAATCAAAACGTCCTGGGAAAACCAATGGAAGAATTCAAATTACACAAAATACAACCTACCATCAAAACTTTTTAGCTACCTAACTTAAGTAGAAGAGAGACTTAGTTCGCAGACTAAGAATTGGTCACACACGGCTAGCACAGGGACACCTGAAGGCTTCGGAGAAATCATCTTTTTGTAAAAAGTGTAGTGAATCATTAAGAGTTCAACATATTCTTATACAGTGTGTCAAGTACAAGAAGAACAAAACATACTCTATACAAGGTCTTACAAATGTGATGCTCTGCCAATTAGAACTTGTTCAGAATCTACTAGATTTCTTGTAGTATCAGAATGATCTCGAAAATTTAGAGTTTTCTTGTTTATTACTTTCTCCTTTATACTTCTCTTTATTGTAAATTATACCTAATGTAATGTAAAATGTATAGTAGCAAAATTAACCCATTCTCAATAATCTTGTAGTTGCGACACAATAAACTAAGTGATTTGAAAGATTTCCATCCTTTTCCTCACTTGCGTAAACCTTTTACTGCGTATACCTTTTATTATTCATGGACTTTTTGCATTATAGCAATTTCATGCTCGCAATAGTCAAATTCTTCGTTGCCTTCAATGCAAATGTGGAAAAGTATCCATACAAAGCTAATTCGTCTAGAGTTTTCTTGGGTCTGCAAGATGTTATGCATGAGAAGTTTCTTAAAGAGACCTTTGGAATAGGATATGTTTTAGGATTTAAAGACCACTTATGAAGTAACTCCTATGAAGGATTATTATTAGAATTTAGAACTTAGATTAGAACTTGGTAACACAACTTGGAATGCCATTAGAATTGTAAAGCTGTGGAAAAACGTGAGAAGCCCTGTTCGTCATAATATTACTTCTGCAAAGGTGTATAGGATAGTAATCTGCCAGTGTAAATGTGTTTTTTGTATTCAATGTATGCTCAGAGAAAATATCCCAGGAAGAACTACGGGAATAAAAGTAAATGATCGCCTAATCAGTAATATACGATTCTCAGACGACACTATTCTAATAGCGAAATTTCTTGAGAATTTACAGATGTATGGTTGACAGGGTGGTAAAGTCAGTGATGAGAATGGATTGTCAATAAACACAAAAAATGCACAGTTTATGGTGATTATAAAAGCCCAACAAAATAGTTCCACACATGGTACAAAAAGAAAGAATAAAATGGAATAAATATATTGATAGAATGGCACAAAATAGAATACTAAGAATATCTCGAGACAAATCGCCAATAGGTCGAAGAAGCATTGTACGATCTAAAAAACGATGGCATGAATGTTTTGGAAGTTTTTTACTGCTAGCTATACCAACTGCCTAAGGAAGTTTTGTAGAAAGCTTTGGAAAACTGTTGAAGTTAAATTGATATTTTTATCTTGAATAGAAACAACCAAGTAATATTTCACATAAACATTGTTCCACAATTTGGATTACGTCATTAGTGGCAAAAAGAGATTAGAACTATTAATTGGGACTTGGAAAGTCCCATTTTCTTCCTGCTGTTCTTAAGAGTAGCGATTGTTGGCTCTGTTACGAAACGATCTGATTTCTAAAAAGTTCTGAATAAAATAAAGCCAATTTCCACGAATGTTCTATAACTTTTTTAAAATATCTTTAATAAAGTCAAACGCGCAATATTGTTTTCCTGCTAACGATTGATGATTATCACTTTCCAAGTTAATATGTTATTTATGCCAGATCAGTTCTTTCAAGAACTATTTTGTTCATTTGTAAGTAAATAAATTACAATTTTCTAAATGACTGATAAACTTATGTCAAACTATTTTTTATTACTAGCTTAACAATTTAGTATAATTTCTAATGTTTAAAAATATTAGATATCTTGTTTATCAGTCCTGGTCCTTGTTGTCTCTTAGCATAGGGTCGTTCCTTATTCGTTTCGAAGTAGAAATTTCCTTTCAGTGTAGTAGTGAGGTCTCCCAACGGTACTTTGTAGTTTTCATCACACTTTTTAAATAATAAAGTGTATTGAGTACATTTTGTTGCGAGGAAATCACCGGGATTGAGAATGGCTTCAGTGAAGTATTCGTGGGATCTCTGGTGATCACAAGTAACTGAAAAAAAAATAAATCAATCTCAATAGTACCAATCTCATAGCAGCTAATAATTAACTCATTATTACTTATTTCTGCCACTTGAGATCTTTTTATAACAATACTATTAAATAAACGGATGAAACAAAATGACGCAGTAAAAAATCGCCCCTGGATTCGCCCGGGAAAAAACCCCTAGAACAAGTTCCTTGATAACATCGATGAAGACATGAGAAATATGGGAATACGTGCTTGGCGGAAAAAGGCGATGGATAGAGGCGACTGGAAGAGAAATTCTTGGAAGAGGCTAGCACCCATGTAAGGTTGTAAAGCCAGAATGATGATAATGATGATGATGTTTGTATTTAAAAAAAAATTGTGACTTTAATTAGTTGTAAGTTTATGTTCTTATTTTATACACACCTGGATCAGCGACGCTGGTAATATCAAGTAAATCGATTCTCTGGCATCCAGGTTGCCATTTTCCCCCATTTGGGAAGAAGTCAATAGTACCACAGGGATTGTCAAATCCGAATCTTCCTCCATCAGAATGAATAACCTCTACGACCTCTGCATCTGTAGGATTCAGCCTTTTATCTCTGCAAACAGTATATAAAATATATTAAAAAATTAATTCTAACCTCAAATACTCTCTTTTTCTCCCTATTTCTCTCTCTTTCCCCTCTCTCTTCTCTCTCTCTCTAGCACTACAACCTGGAGTGAATCTTCGCTGCTTTAACAATCTGCCTCCACTTGCAACGGTACATGATTAGTTCCTCTGCTTGTTCAATATCAAGAGCGTGTTGATCTGCTGCAATATTATCTTGGTATTCTTAGCGATCGTTTTCCATTCGGATTCTCTTCAATGACCAGCTTTACGACATGCTCATCTTGTCTCTTAACATGGTCCTTTCTGTCTTAATTATTTTTACTATATCTTTCTCGTTATATAATTTTTCCAATTCTCTGTTAGTTCTCACTCTCTATTACTATATAAATTATTTTATTCTATTCGATATGGTCAGTAGCTCAGTACAGCGATTATAGCAATTTTACAACTTTTAATGCTGTTAATTTTATTCACGAGTCATCTTTTCAGATATAGAAACTGATAATAATCAAAGGGGGACAAATCAGGTAATAAAGCTGGAGGAAAAAGCAATTGGGGAAAAAGCTCATGAAATTGTCAAAACGCTCTTGTGAGACGGTTGGTGCATTGCCGATGCAATTTTTTTATTTGGGTCTAACCAATCTTATTCGATTTTTTTCCTTCGTATTTTTGTCATTTTCTTTGCTTTTCTGTGTATAGTTTCTCGCATAATTTTTGTTAACATTTTTCTTTAATCTATAATTGGTTGACTTTATTCAGTATTGGAATGGTATTGGTTTCTTTATTTTTTAAGATTGAGAAAATATCAATAATTGCTAGAGACAAAAACAATTGAGTACATATACAAACGACTCAAAAATCTATTAAGAAAATATGGAAAGTATATATTCATAATTGGATTCAAAGTCTGTAAACCAGTCTCATATGGAACAAGTAAATCTAAATAAAAAAGCTATGTTAACTTACTTTGGTCTAATACTGAACAGGGGACCAGCAGGATCAAGACCAATAATTCTTGGTAAAATTTTACCTACTGATTGTAGTTTTTTTCCTGCAAATCCGCAAGCTTGTCCTCCGAGTGAATGACCCACCAGAAGGAATTTCTTAATATCAACGTTATGCTTATTTATCAGGTCAAGAATCATATCCGCCATGAAATTTCCTAAAATTTATATTATGTTTAGTTGACGTATAAAAATTACGATGTTGATATTAACAAATCTTAAAACAGTAACAAAAGAATGGAGTTGTTTTTGTCTGATATTTCATTTTTTTTTAATATTATCTTGGAAATAAACTCCGACTAGAAATGAAATTTGTAATTTATTTGTAGAATAAATTTGGAATCAAAAATTAAAGGTTTTATTTCTGAAATCTATAAGATAAAATATCTGGAATAAAATGAAAAACTTTACTTAATTAAGTTTTCAAAAAGATTTTGAAAATTGAACTTTAATTTTAAAAAGTCACATTCCTAATTATTAGGCAACCAACGAGTAAACATCTCTTTATCGTAGATATTTCTGTTATTTATGTGTTTACGACTTAGTGTTATTGTTTTTCGATTTGCTAATATTAAACTCTGGTCAACTAGATAGTTCGATTATACAAAGGCTTAACCTTATACCAACTTCACTGTTATTTCCCCTATTACTTTATCATAGGCTCTTACAAGAAGGCCTATTACATTAATACAATTATTAAAAGTGCTGTGGTTTTGACTTTAAAGGTTAAATTAGTGCTTAATAATAATATTAGTTTTTTTAATATTAGTGCTTTATAAACTAAGCAATTAATTTGCTCAAAATTATCGTTTTCATCCAATCTGATTTTCCTTCGCAAATTTTCCTTGATGAAGGACGGTCATTAATCACAGCCCAGTTAATCGGTCCTCTCCTATTGTACTTCTGAGGCACGCCTTTCTCCTTCGAAAGGTACTGAAAGATCGTTCAACAGTAGCCGTAGTAGATGGAACTCACGTAAAATGAGAAGTGTTTGCCTTGTTGCAGAGAAAAAAAATGAGCTTCCTCCAAAAGTGCAACACTTCAATATCCTTTAACTCCTGACGTCATTGGCTGTCGTCTGTGTATTCTTGTAGAGACTACCAGAGACCTCTCCCTGTTTTGAATCCAATAATTGTAAAGGAGGTACGATAATTCCTATCGACAATAAAATAACGATAAACGATTTCCAAACAATCCGGCAATCCAAAGCAAATAAATTTTGTATTGAATGGTCTTGTACTGTAGTATATTGTATGATCTATTATCTATTCTATATTCTTACAGTGTTTATTTACAGTATAAAATTATAATAGTATTTCTACAAGTGGTCATCGTAGCCGATCATATTAAGCTTGAATAAAAAAAATTAAAAGTGTGTATGAAAGGCTGATCGTGCGAATTTCTGAAATCAGCGATTTTATATCGTACAAGAATTCTGTTAACCTTGTAATGCATATTAAGTATCGTTCAAATAATGCATAATGGAATACTGTCATATTTGTTGAGGAATCTAGTTCATGCCTTGTTTTTCTTTGTAAATCAATATGATTTTATTTATGGATAAAAAATCATTTGTAGTACTCTTTCTGTATTAATTTGATTTAAATTGTCTGTCTTTCGTTTAAATTTTTTTGATGTTGCTGATTGCTCATATAGGTCCGTACGTTTTGTTTCATATAGGTTCACTAATCTGTGCACTTGGCCTACTGACGACAGAATTATTCTAATTAATTTTATGTATTTATTAATTTTGAACCAAAGGGTAATTAGGTTTACAAATTATAATGTAAACGTTTAGGAAGGGGAATGGCCCGAAAATAGACACCGGTTTTTTATGATTTTCCGAATGCGATTTTCCCAGGCCAAGCCTGTTTCTGTTTTATTTAATTTTCCTGTTATGAAGGCAGCGAAAAACTCTCGGGTGACACCATAGATGGCACTGCCAGAAATACAATTACTTTTTATGTTGGCTGAAAATTGTTGTTTGCGTTGCCTGTCGATGTATGTATGTACTACAAAATTATGTGATTTATATTCTGAGCGTTATTTGTGGTATTTTTATTTCTACGTACATTTTCATTTATTCGAAGCACAACTTTTTTTCAGTAACTTTTAATTTAGAATTTATTTAAACACTTTCTTTATAGTATTTAAATGTACATTTTTAAAATAATTCTTAAAACTTTAGTACTTATAATTCAACTTATACTAAAACAATTAAACATGTACTTGTTACTTGAATTCAATTATAGAGGGAGTTTACGCCAATTTAAGAGCAACTAATACATAGGCAACATTATATACAATAATAGTGCTTGGATTTAAATAGTTTCCTATATGTACATATAATGTAACGTGCTCTAAGTCATAGTTTACAAGTAATATTTCACTTATTGAAGAAGATATTAAACTAAATCAATAATATTCGATTTCGTGTTTATTTTAAATACAGCGAAAATATTTTGTGTTAAAACAATTTTTATGTGTTAAGAGCCAAAAAAATCCAAAGCCAAAGTTTTAGTGTTAGTTTTTTTAACTGAAAACAGTTAAAAAACTAACACTAAAACAACTGTTAAGAATAGAAATGACAAAACAAAACTTAAACAATAAATCAATACAAGCGATCTGATAAATGAATAAATCACTGACTACTCGCTGGTGAAATGTATAAAAAGAATAAATAGACAAACTCAATACATTTCGCTAATTCGTCAGAGATTTGACTTCCAAAAATCATACGAACAAGCTGAATTTTGCTGAATGTTCCCCATGCTCCCATAATCCGAGAGGTGTGGAAAACCAACCGCATTCCAGCGGGCTGAAAGCGGGATAACATTATTAAGCTTCCAAAATAGGGCAACCGCACACTGTGCAAAAATTGGAGAGGAATAACCTTGCTTAACCGTTAAAATTAAATTCAAACCGTTACTACACTTGAAAATAGGTATAAAACTAAATTTCAGTTGTTCACCCAAAAACGGGCAATCTTGAACTAAAAATAGTCCGAATCTTTCTGCGAAATTTACCTGATAATAGGTAAATAGACTCTGATTGCGTATTTGTTGGCTTCATATGGTGCCCGTAGGCGTTAATAAGTTAAGTAAAATCATACCAAGCCAATATTACCAATTATCTTAAAAATTACTTGAGAATATACTGCTCCCTCTTTCTAGTTCCATTCCCCTTGTGGAGTAGTAGGCGCCTATGCGTTTCTTGGCCAAAAGTGTAAGATTGCTGACTGACCGAGTGAGAGAATCTTCTTTCTTATTTTATTCTCTGGATAAACTGTACATTTTTTCGTGTTCTCTCGATGTAATTCTTTTCCAGCTGTTATCAGGTGTTCCTCTCTTTCTTTTCCCTCTGGTTGATTTTTTCCTTGACTATAGTAGATAATGTCTATGCTAGTTAGTTTGGTCTAAATCACAGTTTTGTATTATTTATTCTGTTGGGTGAGAATACACTGCTAATAAGAAGAACAATTTAAAAAATCAATGTATCTTAGGAAGTATCGTTAATAAAATATCAAAAAAATTTAAGAAATAAAAATCCATACCAACATCGTAAGTATTGATAGAAGATATTGAATAAGGCTGTGATGCCGGTCCACTCCAATCAATTGTGATCACAGAACTGTTCGGGTAAATAGTCAGAAAAGCATTTTTCATATCCAGAACCCAATCCACAGTCGCAGAACTAGCCCATCCGTGTAAAATAAATACTATCTTCTCTTTGGCGTACTTAACATCTTCCAGATTTGAAGAATCCAATAAGGTTCCATTTTCCAAATGCTTTTTGTCAAAGTGGGTAAAGGTTAATTTGTCGATGGTGACATGGGTACCAGTGAGTTGTTTTGCTTCTACTGCTAGTCCTTTGTAGATTTGGAAAAAGTCTTTCTTTAGCGTGTTGGGAATGTTGCAAGTAATACCTGAAATCACAATATTGTTATTTATTAACAAAACAGTGTAATCAACTATCTGTATTTTGCACCCTTCATCTAATATTTATTTCATTGCGTGTGACTGGCTTCCACACCATGTAAAATTTTAGAGCACAGAAACCCCAACAGACGACCATGGCCCATTATTTATCTTATCGCAATATGAAATAAGATACATAAATATAAATTCTCCAATTTTAATCTGGCTTCATTTTGGTAGTATAAATTAATTACATGTAACAGCCTTTATCAAAATTTGTAAGTATAATGGCAATTGAAGATCAAGACCTTTGACAAATCGATGTGATTAAACGAAATATTTCATTGAAGAATAATTAAATAGTTTTGTTAAGACACATATGTAAACATCATTGGTAATCTTATTAATAATCAAATATGAATATAGAAACTTATAATACTTTTACATTATAAGTTTCAATCAAGAATATCCTGTAGTTTTCAGAAGATATTCATTCAATTAAATGTGTTCACTACGTAATAACTTATCAACTTTTTAATCAAGAAGTTTCATGGATGTTAACTTATCTGCAATATTTTTTGTCACGTTTGTAACTGAAAATGATTTTTTTTTTTGTAATATTGTATAAGATATGGGTCCGGAACAATTTGGCTTCCGAAATGGTATGGGAACTCAAGAAGCTTTGTTCAGTTTCATTGTTCTCATGCAAAAGTGCCGGGATCAACAAAAATATGTCTACTTGTGCTTCATAGATTATGAAAAGGCTTTTGACAAAGTCAAACACGATCAGCTAATAGAATGTTTGCAAAAAAAGAACCTGGAACCAAACGACATTAATACAATACGTGAACCTACTTTAACCAAAAACGCCTCTGTCAGAACTTAAATGGGTGATACTGAAATCATAAACATCCAAAGAGGAGTTGGCAAAGGTTGTATACTATCACTATTATTATTCAACTTGTACTTAGAGGGACATCTTTGCACATGTTCTGGATGAAGCACAAGAAGGAATAAAAAGTCAATGGAAAAATCGTGAACAATATCAGGTATGCGCCGATGATACAGTACTGATTGCTCGCAGTGAAGAAGAACTACAAATTCTGTTAACCAAAGTAGTGCGAGAAGGAGAAACTATACTGCCTTTATAACAAATGGTAATTTGAAAAAACCACACACCAGTTATAAACATACTAGTCAACAACAATCAATTGAACAAGTGACAAAGTTTAAGTATCTAGACTGTTGGATACAGGAAACCTCTAGACCAAGAACAAGAGATTAAATGTAGAATAGAACAGGCAAGAAACACCTTCTTAAGATGTGACAGTTACTCACTACCCGTAATCTTTATTTGTCCATACGATACCGCATGATAAAGTGTTATGTTTATAGTGTACTATTTACATGGCGTGGAAGCTTGGACGTTAACGGTCAGCTCGTTACGACGTTTAGAGAGCTTTGAGATGTGGGTATTTCGTATGCTGAAAATTCCATGCACCGACCGCGTTAGAATTCCATGCACAGACCACAATTATTGATTATGATAAAAATTACATTTGACGTTTGGATTTGTATTCCAGAAATTGTTTTTAAAAACAGATTATTTTAAAACTTGTGCGAAAAGTATAACAAAATTTTCGGTTGACTTTCTTGACTTCAATCTTGTAGGCAATAGCCTGCTTTGGTTATAAAAAATCTGAGTAATGATGTTTGTGCTGTCTAGCCCAGGCTGTGGGTGAAAAAAAGGGTGATTTTACACTGTAATCCAGGAATTTATGTAACGAGGTCTAGGTGATAAAGAGCAACCATCAAGAGCAATCCCCCAGTTCATTCAACAAAAAATTTTTGGTTATTGTTTCTTTATAAGCGTTTTTAAGTACAAAATACGTATTTTTTTAGTTTTTTTCATTTTTTGCCTAAAGTAGGTAAGTGTTTGTAATGGGTAATTTCTGTATAGATTATAAAAGTCCTCTAAAAGACCTTTAATTTGAGCCATTATACGTTTAATTTAATTTATTTGTTATTGCAAAAATGAAGAATGAAGGTCAAAATTAATAGTTATTTATTGTACAAGACGATAAAATTGTACTTTATCTTCGAAAGCGTTTTTTAGCGTCGAGACGTGAGTCGAGACGCTAATTATGCTCGAGAAGATAATGCGAATTTTATCGTCGTGTGCAATACAACATTTTTTTCTATAGCAAGACTTCAAGTTCAGGTAAAAAATAGAATTTCAGAGAAAATTGTAATTTTTAGCACAAAAAAAATTTGGAGCATCACACTTTACAAGTTGTGATGCTCCAAAAATAGATATTTCTAATAACATTAATTGTAAAATCTCAGTTGATTTGCCTTTGAATTTGTAAATTTTATTGAATAAAAAAAGTTAAAATATTTTTCTACTCTTGCTGTTAAAGTGTCACTTTATCTACCCTTGCGGATTAAAGTGATACTTTATCTACTCAAAACAAATGTTATAGCAACACTTTAACATTAGCTATGGAAAAAAAATGTTATATTTATTGCAAAATGGCTTTTTTTTTCAAATATATTACTATTGTTCTGAGGCTATTTTCTTGTGGCATTTTAAAGTAATTACTATTTAAATAAGAATAAGCCACAATTTAAGGTTAAAATAAGTTTATTGCCGTTTCAATTTCCACTTCGAAAATCGTTATCAAAATACAAACATTAGTAAATTGTTTTAATTTACAGCGTCATGTCTACATAAAGAAAAGAAGTAGAGCAAAAAAAAAAGAAAATCAAATTTGGATGTATGGAAACGAAAAGTAGAAGTTGGTTAATTACAAATGCAGACTGTGTTGAGGATATAATAACACGGATTGAAATATCACGTAAGGCATTTATGACATGGAAACCAGGTTTGTGTAATAGAAATCTGTCATTAAATTTTCATAAAATGGTTTTTGAGGTGTTATATTTGGTCGATCCTATTTTATGGTTGCTAGGCATGGACTCTTAAAATCACAACGTTGAACGAATTAAAAATTGTTTAAAATGTGGGTATTACCGCCATGATTCTAAGAATATCATGCGTCTTGTACATTTACAACAAGAGTATTTTGAAGTATTTTCAGAATGATTAATATAGTATTTTGGATACATAATTAGAAGAGAAAGTGGATGGCAAAAGATGGATAGGGCGAAAAAGCTATCTTAGATACTCAATATTAGACAATGGTTTGATTTGTTAGCTAAAGAACTATTTTGCCCATCAGTGGATAGAGAAACATTCTAAGAACTTATAAACATCATGATAGTTAACATTTGATGACAAATAGAGAACTTAAAGAAGAGGAAGTTAATATGAATAGTATCACAAACGTATCAAACATTTGCCAGGGTCGTCCCAAATAGATTAAACAACAAATTTATTGCAAAACAATTAACAGAAAAAGCGAGCACCTCCCACTTCGGTCATTTACTGACAATGAAAAACTCTTCAATAGCATACAACAACGTGAGTACTAAAAATATCTGTTACCGTTTCACATAAATTCAGTATGAATGAAATTGGTGTAATCGCTGATAGAGAAATGACGAGTGAGATAATAATGTCAGTGAAATGTGTACTTAATAAAGTGTTCAATACTATATGTGTGTTCAAATTGGTCGAGTTGAGAATGAAAAGAAATCTATAATCTATTAGGAGACACACCAGAGGTATTCCATCAGACGAGAAAGAGGAGGTGATAGGAGGTGATTTTATTGCATATTACCACATATGAAGGTGAACAAGCATTCTCAACTAAACTATTATTCTTCTTAAGGTGCATCGTCTTGTCAGATGAGATGTTAAATATTCAGGATTAAATAATTCTGTTTTTAGCAGCATTGAAGCATTTCATAGCTGTAGATTCCTGTCCATTGTCGAATATTGTGCAGCCATGACATTTTGTTACGTCTCAGACATCTCCTACCCTCTATCTTCCCTTCGAGTATCAGTTGCTGAAAAGTGTATTTTTCTCCTCGTAATATGTGCCCAAGTATGCAGTCTTCTTACTTTTTACATAACTAAAAAGTTCCCTATCCTGTAAGCCCGCTCTTCTAAGTACTTCCTCATGTCTGAGGACTAAACTATTAAATGACAAAAAACCAAGACGTAAATGAATCTAAGGATTGAATAAGACTGTAAACTCCACAAAACATTAAAAGGCAGAGATTTAGAAATAAGAAGTAAGGTTTATACTGGACAAAAAAGAGAGAAGTTTGAGACTGGCGAGACCTGTGGGTGGTCAAATGAAGTACAAGAAAAAAAGAAGGAAAAGGGAAAACTATATCAACAGTAGCAAGAACATAGATGTTTAAAATTACATGATTGCTAAAAGGAAAGCATAATTAACCCCAGCAAAAGCTAAAGCAGAGGCGTATAAAAGTCTATAGAATCAACTTGATACCAATCAGAGAGGGTAAAGAAGATGTGCTTAGAAAATCGATAGTTGGTAATTCTCCGAACATGTCCGTACCATTAACGTTGTTGGTTTACGATATTATCTGCTATTGTATAGAAAGCTACTGAGAAACTATAGAATCATCTTAACCTACTAAAAAACTGGCTAGGGAAGTGGAAAATCAATACAATTAAGTTTGCAACAGTAATATTTACAACAAAGATGTCGGTCAAAGATACTTCACCGATAAAATTAGATAATAGAATCTATAAAAACAAGACAAATCATCTAGAACATGTTTTTAGTAACTTATAAATTGCAATAAATAAATAAAAAATAAAAATCTAGACTTACCTGCGAAAAGAAAAGCACACAGAAAAACTGTTTTAACTTGTAACCGCATTTTGTGACCACTGATTCCTTCTCATATTACATTAATTAACTCTCAATCTCTTATTAAATAACCTTTTAGCATGTTTGTTTGTACAAATAATCTTTGAAAATGTATTTCTATAAAAACACGCGATAATGGCCAGTCTTATCTTCGAAATGAGAACGCAAAAATTCGTTAATGAAAATGATATATTTGATTTGTAGTGAAGAGAAGTATTAGTCAAGTCAAGTCAAATTTATTGATCACATGCGACATTATACAAAGCACATGTATGAGACAAGTCAAAGTTACAGACATACATATATAAAAATATGATTATTTATATAGTTTTTTAAACATAAAATTTTGGCTTTAAATCCTTCTTGAAAGACAGTTCATGGATCAATTGATTGTGTTCAAATTTCTTTGATATATATCGTACTATTTCTTTCAAAATACGTCAGCTATGTTTTTTTTAAATGTGTTATCTGTTTGTAATTATGTGTTCGTGTGTTTGTAATGTAATTATTTGTTCGTCTATCTCTTTCCAGCTTTTGATATTATTTCTACACTTTTTATGAATATTGATATAGAAGTTTTGGATCTAGAACTTTACATACTCCACTATAGAAATAGATAGATTCTCGGCTTCTTTCTTTTCCTTTTACTTTTTTCTTGGTTTCTATAATAACACATAGATCTTCTTCTGCTTCTTCTTCTTCTTTAAATGTAGACATGACTCTGTCTGTATTTCAATGTGCCTCCAGTAAGTTGTTTTTCCATCGTTGTTGTGGTCTTCCTACTGATCGTCTTTCTGTTGGGGAACCATCTCTTGCCATCTTTACTATTCTGTCTTCCATTTTTTACCCTTCCATTTTTTGCAAGAACAAGCCTGAAACTCAACAACAGATAGCACTGGATAAACTGAAAGACCCAGTGATACAAGCAGAAATAAGCAATGAAATAAACGCACAAATTCAAATATTGACGACAAACATTACCGAAGATCTAACACCAACATGGAATAAGATTACAAGTGCTGTAACAGACATCATGAAAAACAACGATCGGGGTACAAACGAAATAACAAGAGGCAAAAATGGATGACAGAAGAAATACTATTACTAATGGAAGAACGACGAAGACACAAGAATGACCAAGATGGCAGCAATATGTATGAAAACATTAACAGGCAAATAAAAACAAAAATAAGAATAGCAAAAAATGAATGGCTTAAGCAACAATGTATCGATCTAGAACATTTACAACGACAGCACAACGACCGTAATTTGCATAAAAAGCTTAACGAGACTGCTGGAATATACAGAAAACGAAGACCAACTACCATAGTTAATCAGGATAACCAGATAGTGCTGGGTGAAAAGGAGAAAATTGATATAAGGGAAAATTATATCCAGGAGCTCTTCCATGACGAAACACACATGAGTGAAGTTCATACAGACGACCAGCTGAGTGGCTCTTCAATCACCAAAGAGGAGATAGAAAAAGCAATATTAAATTCAAAAAACAATAAGGCACCTGGACCAGATGAGATCCCGTCAGAAATACTTAAATTACTACATGAAAGGGGAATTTCAGCACTACACAAAATATTTAATTTAATTTTTGAAACTGTCTGCTATCCTCAACAGTGGTTACGCTCTACCTTTATTCCCCTGCCCAAGAAAGTCAATGCAAAAAGATGTGAGGATCACAGCCTGATGAGTCACACTTTAAAGATATTCTTAAAAATACTACATCAAAGATTATACAAAAAATGTGAATGGGACATCAGTGATTCCCAGTTTGGGTTTAGGCAAGGTTTAGGAACACGAGAAGCAATAGTAGCAACACAGGTGCTGGTCCAAAATTGTTACGATCAGAGGAAGGATGTGTTCCTATGCTTTTTAGATTATCAAAAAGTGTTTGATCGTGTCCAACACCACAAGTTAATGCAGATTCTCAAGAAAGTTTATATAGACCAAAAAGACATAATGTTCATTGAAAACTTGTACTGGCATCAAACGGCACAGTTAAAAATAGACAATTCTATATCCAAGCCCATACATATAAGAAGAGGCGTTCGACAGGGATGTGTGCTTTCCCCTCTTTTATTTAACATTTATTCGGAAGCCATATTTCAAGAGTCTTTGGAGGATGCAGAGATGGGAATCAAGGTGAATGGAGTATTGATCAACAACATACGATATGCTAATGATGGTGTCTTAATTTGTGACAACAAGTCGATATTCAACAACTTGTCACTATAATCGGAGAATACAGTAAGCGAATGGGATTAGAGATTAATACCAAAAAGACCAAATTCATGAGCATCTCCAGAAACTTGGATGCATTTGAAAACTCCACCATAACACTGAATACTATATCCATTGAAAGAGTGAGTAAATTTAAATACCTGGGATCGTGGCTTTTTGAAGACTGGGCATCGGACAGGGAAGTAAAATGTCGCATTGAGCAAGCTCGACAAGCTTTCGTAAAATTCAAGAAGGTACTGACTTGTTCAGAGTTCGATCTTCAACTGAGACTAAGGTTTACTAAGTGCTACGTATGGTCAGTGCTGCTATATGGCGTAGAGGGCTGGACACTCAAAACGAGGGATATAAACAGATTAGAAGCTTTCGAAATGTGGCTTTATCGCCGTATCCTAAAAATACCATGGACAGCGAAAATCACAAATATAGATGTCCTTAAAAGAATAAACCAAAAACGCCAACTTTTCGAAACCATCAAGAAAAGGAAAACGGCGTATCTAGGTCACATCATGCGAAATGAAAAATACCAGTTCCTCCAACTTATAATCGAGGGTAAAATTGAAGGCAAGAGAGGAATGGGACGCAAGAAAATGTCCTGGCTCCGAAACATAGGGCAATGACAGGGATTAACGACATACAATCTCTGATACATATTGCAAGAAATAGAGAATTAATGGAAAATGTAATCGCTAACATCCATTAGTGGATTTGCATCTGAAGAAGAAGATTTTTTACCCAATCCTTGACGTTCTCCACCTTGCATCCATATCATATATCTGGACTAGCTCTGCCTCAAGAGTTTTCATTCTCTTCTGTTTTTAACATTTTTTTGCCCCTACGTCGTCAGTAAAGGAAGCGATTGTAGTATTATTAGTCTCTGGTACATCGGCTGTGTAGAGTTTCTAGAAGTAGAGCGGTCCCTAGAACACTACCCTGCGGGACTCCGGAGTTGATAGGACTGGATAGGACACCGGATAGAGGTTGGATTGTTGGTCTTTGAATTTTACAGAGAAATATCAATTAGATATCTAGTATTTATTTATGTTTGTATTTAAGCATTTATGTTTATTTTTGAACCAATGTTTCTTAGTTAGTTCACTAATTTTTTGCGTTGCCTGAAAAATAAGTCTAACTTTAAAAAAATATTTATTAGTCACAAAAATCAAACGATATAGGCAACGCTGCATCAAAAAGGAGAATACAAAACCGAGTATCATGCAACAATAGGGTCATACACCCACGAATTAAACTCACGTGGATATTACCCATTGAATTGCGTAAAGAGTTGAGTACCAAAATTTACATACATCTTCCTACTTCATTCTTTTCACCGCTATTAATGACTTATCCGTCGTACAATTATAACTTTCCAGTTAATTACCTCCTTACATACTATAAAAATATATAAATTTAAGGCTTTACTGCCTATGTCAATAATTTTATGGTGCAGGTATTAGTATTCGCTGTAACGATGATTATAATTAATTAAATTCTTTTTTGCATTTAGATAAAATGTCAATATGTTAATTTACAAATGTATTTTGCTCAGTTTTAGTAAAACTGTCAAAAGTGTCCAAGAATATCAAACTGTTGCACTTCTTGTAGCCCACCTTAGGTACTTCTCATGAAAAAGTGTTACAACTAATTGTTATACATATATCTCTTTCAGTCCAATATTTGATGTATAAAAAAGTATCTGTACTTCATTACTAAATCGAAGACAAAAGATAATTGCCAATATTAAATCGTAGAAATGTTCTATCTAAGCGTCTCCTATCGGATCTTCCGTGGTCTGCCTCTACTACTCATCCCAGAAAATTGCAAAACAGCAATTCTTCATATTGGATAATAAATGTTTTGACGTTGAACATGTCTATTGTTTGAAGCAACAACTTTCATTTCACAATCAATTAACGTCATAGGCATATTCATAGACGTTCAGAAGCCATTCGATCAGGTCTGGCACACAGGCCTGGTCGAAAAACTCCACCTAATAAATTCCTATCTATTCAATTTGACGATCAGGATCAAAGTTGGCGACATTTTATCCACACTCTTTACTCCACAAGCTGGAGTACTCCAGGGCTCAATTCTTGCTCCAATATTATACACAGTCTATAACAGTGACATCAGTAAAGATCGGAAACCCTTCTTCTGTATGCTGATGACACTGCTCTTCTCACATCAGGACTACATAGAAAGCGTGGACAACGGTCTGTATTCGAAAGACCGCAAAACCATCTAAATCGAGTCATTAGGTGGCGCAATAAATGGAGAGTGACTATAAACGCCTCCAAAACACAAATCATCTTATTCAAATCTCCCAACTGTCGTGATGTTCATAGCCTAATAACCTTGTTAGGAGAAGACTTTATTCTTAGAAACTCGGTTTCCTATTTAGAAGTTCATTTTAGCAGAACTCTCAACTGAAAAACTGACATACAAAACATCCTAGACAGGGTAAGAAAGAGGTTTAAACTCCTGGCAACGTTCTCCGGTAAAAAGGGCAAGACGTCAACTAAAACAATATTGCACGCTACAAAACCTTTATAAGAACGCTAATCGAAAACAAGGCATACGTTTAAGCGATTTTAACACGGGAAACGAACTTCCTGATGAGTATTTTGATATATTAGAATCAACCCCCATACATACGAAGCTAACAACTGCAAACCATAAACGCTGATTAAAAACCGTTCCCAGTATGGCCCTTTGACTTGTTTAGCCTTCTTCTCCAATAATTTCCCTTCTGCGCTCCATATAATATCGTCCATATCACACATGC